CTCTCCACCCACTGGACTTGTCAAACATTTTGTAAACGTCAGCCACTCAGCACCTACTCGCATTCTTCTCTCCCTGCCCTTCCTAGGGCTCCAAGGGAGGTCAGGCACAGGGATGAGGTGACACAGCTTTGGCATCTGGGTAGGCATGTCTGCTTGTGCAGGTTTAGTCACAGCTTTCTTGGGGCCACAGTAGCCAAGTCCTTGGTGGACACGACCCTGGCACACTTCAGTGGAGAGGTCATGTCACTCTAACACTTCTCATCTGGCCTCAGGAAACTCAGGCCAGAGAAACTGTAACTCAGCCAGTCAAGCCAAGGCCTGGGGAGAAAACCTGAGGATGTTTCTGGGGGAAATGTTGACCAGGTTAGCAGGCTTTCTGGATGGGGCTGAGGCAGCAGGGAAAGCAAAAATGAGCCCTGATCAGAAGCGTTCACAAGATTGGGGCTATGGAGCCACAGTCTGGGCTTTTCTCCTGTCTCTTGTTCTTGCTAGCTATGACATCTTGAGCAAGTAACTAAGTCTTTGTGCCTAAGCATGTAAGTTAGGAACTTATTTGGTTGCTACTAACAAAGATCTTAACAGCATCTTAAACATGGGGACATTTCCACCATTCTGCTCTGCCATTCTTCCTTAGCACATAGATTTCACCTCATGGTCCAAGATGACTGCATATGCTCTGGCCATCACATCTTTATTCCGGGCAGCAGAGAGGCAGAGAGAATAAAAAGGCACTCATATTCAGAGCTTTTCCAGATGTCCCCCTTTTAAGGACTTTTTCAGCAGTCCCCTTCACATTTTCTTTTATCTCATTGTCTAGAACTTATTCATATGGGTACATCCCACTGCAAGGAAGGCTGATATGTGGTCTTGGCTTGGCATACTGATGCCCCCAATAATATTGGGGTTCTGTTTCTAAAGGAAAAGATGAGAGTTGATACTGGGTGGCAAACTTGGAATTTCTCCCCTAGGCAATTTTTCCATCTATAAGTTCAGATTTATAACAGTTCCTACCTCATACGGGTGTTGTATTCAGTTAAGGACTCAATAAACATTAGCTAAATTACTGCACATCAGGAGAAAATGAAATGCAAAAGGTAAGTAATGTTGGCATTACTAGGAGCATCATCTGGATATCACAGACTCCGGAATCCCTAAACCACACTTTAAGAACTGCTGCCTTGACAATCACTGAATTCTGGGGCAGTCTGCTGGACAAGTCCTTGTATGACCTTGAAAGGACAGCCATCCTTTTGCCTTTACCAAGTTGGTGTAATTTTTGCTGACACACACAACCTTGTTTCCTTGGAAGGCCTTGCACCATCTGTAATGACCTTTTCTGTGTATGTCTTTGATTTTCCATCTTCCTTCTGGCAATGTAAGGCCATGAGGCCTTAGCCTTATAGAGCCAATCAAAGTTGACCTTATAGCTTTGTCCACCACTTATAGAGCCAATCGAAGTTTTCCTTATAGCTTTGCCTCAGTGCCCAGCACATGGAAGGAGTGTCACAGACATAAGCTTGACAGTGCTGAACTCTACCCAAGACTTGTGCTCCTGGAGAACAGTGGAGTCTAAGAAATTCCTCCAACTGGCCAGGTGCGGTGGCTCATGCCTATAATCCTAGCACTTTGGGAGGCCAAGGCGGGCAGATTACCTGAGGTCAGGACTTTGAGACCATCCTGGCCAACATGGTAAAACCCCACCTCTACTAAAAATACAAAAATTAGCCAGGCACGGTGGCACACGTCTGTAATCCCAGCTACTCAGGAGGCTGAGGCAGGAGAATTGCTTGAACCTGGGAGGCGGAGGCTGCAGTGAGCTGAGATTGTGCCATTGCACTCCAGCCTCAGTGACAGAGCAAGACTCCATCTCAAGAAAAGAAAAGAAAAAAGAAATTCCTCCACCCTTTGTGTTCTAGAAGACACCTACTACAAAGAACCCTCCTTCTTCATATGACTTAGGTAAGACTCACAAATGCCCTCCTGGTTTACCTATGACAAGGCCAGCCTCACACCCTCCAAATTCCCTTTTTTTTTCTCATAAATAATTAGTGGAACTGCCTGACCCCAGTGATCAATGGGAACAAAACGCTCACTAACCAAACATTGATTAGGCTTCTCTCTTCCCCTAGCCCACTTAGTAAACCTGGGCTCACAGCCTGAGCATAAGCTCTTCCTGAGGCCCGGCTGGCCCCAGGTGGAACGCTCTCTGATCTACTCCCAGATCCCACCACCCTCTCATCCCACTTCCCCACACCATGCTCTTTCTAGCTTTGTTTACTCTTCGCTGTGAAAGGAGAACTCTAACTCTTGAGACGTTGCAGAGCTTATGGCCAGCAGTTCTCCCCATGGCAACAGTCCCTCCCTCCACCTCGAAATAATCTTTTGGAATAAACTTTATCCTTACTAAGTATGGATTTGTTTCTGATTGGACACAGTGGATGAATGAGACAACCATAACTGATCAGAGAGCAGCAATACTAATCCAGCTTTGCAAATTCTGTTGTGACTTCTCTTGCCATTAGACACACTTTGAAATTCTGACTCTTGGATTTGCCAAACCCACCAGGCCATGGCCAGGCACCTTGGGCCCAAAGTACAGCTGATGGCTGACAGCCAGGCCTCCAGAATAGACATATTAGGATTTTGGTGCTCTCAACTAAGGACTTTAGTCCTTTGTCAGGATGCATTTATTTTCCCCCAGGTAATATGCTTTTTAATTTTGGTTTCCCTCCCTGTACCCTGGGTCAGATCACAGAACAGCTCTCCTACCGAGCCAATATGGAATGAGCACTTCTAGATGCCGCCACTCAGCTGGGCCCTGGAAGTTACATGGGGACAGGAGGATCCTGGCAATAAATGACAAGTAAGTGAACTGGGACATACTATGAAGAAACCATGTTCTCACAGAGCACCAAGGGAGCATCTACATATACCCAGTGGACAGCGGAGGACTCACTGAGAAGACAGCTTACTTTGAGGCCTGAGGCTCAGACAGTCCAGTAATGCGAGTGGTCTGTAAGAAGGAGCCTTGAAGCCTGTATTAGTCAGGTTCTCCAGAGAGACAGAACCAATAGGAGACACCTATCTATCTATAGATGGATAGTCAAGTCCTCTACAGAGAGAACCGATAGGAGATACCTATCTATCCATCCATCTACCTACCTACCTACTGATAGAAGATTATCTATCTATATCTATCTATCACCTATCTTTCTAATCTATCTGTTGATGGCTAGGAGATATCCCTATCCATCTATCTATACATATAAATATTTATATCTACTCATATAGAGAGAGAATGAGAGCGAGGGGAGGAGAACTGGCTCCTGCGATCACGGAGACTGCAGGTCCCAGGACAGGCAGTCTGGAAACTGGGGACCTTGGGATGCAGATGATATGGCTCAGTGCAGGTCCAAAAACATCAGAACCGGGGAAGTTGACGATGCTGCTCTCATTCCAAGGCCAGAGTCCTGAGAACCCTGGGGGTTAGGGGAGGGTGTGTACATCCTGGAGTCCAGACCATTTTGGGCTTTGTCCACAGAGATTAAGAATTTGACTTTTGGTTTAAGTGGGTATATTAGTCTGTTTTCACGCTGCTGATAAACACATACCCAAGACTGGGCAAAACAAAGAGACTTAATGGACTCACAGTTCCAGGTGGCTGGGGAGGCCTCACAATAATGGCTGAAGGTGAAAGGTGTGTCTCACATAGCAGCAGACAGGAGAAGAGAGCTTGTTCAGGGAAACTCCCCTTTATAAAACCATCTACTGAGACTTATTCACTATCAGGAGAACAGCACAGAAAACACCCACCCCCATGACTCAATCACCTCCCGCTGGGTCCCTCCCACAACACGTGGGAATTGTGGGAGCTACAATTCCATGAGTTCTGAGTGGGGACACAGCCAAGCCACATCAGTGGGAAAGGGTTTGTAAGATCTTGTTTTAATGTTTTCTCTGTTGTTTATCTGATTGCAAGTGAGGATTCACATCTTCAGCCTGTGGACCATTTGCATTGTTTGCTGAATTATCCGCTCTGTTCTCTCCCCACTTGTCTACTGAGGTCTTAGCATCTTTCTTTTTCATATGAAGTCTCTCTCAGTGAAGGAATTTAATCCTTTGTTGAGTTTCTTTTCCCCTGGTTATCTGCTTTTCAATTTTGGTTTTCCGTTTTAAGTAGAAGCTCTAAACTTTGTGCCTTAATGTGTGAGAATTCTTCCATCACTTTTAATCTTAAGAAATCCTTGGCCATCCGACATTTGATAAACATGACTTAAGTTTTCTTGGTCCCGGTTGACAGGATCCATGTGTTTTCTTCTCGGGGTGGGGCAATGCCTCCCTGGTGAGGCCCTCAAAGGCCCAGGAGCGCAGATCCCACCGCAGAAAGACCCCTTGCCCATCTGAGCCCAGCCAACGGCCCCTTCCCTGCAGGAGGGCGCAGAGGACCCCATGCTACTGGAGTCCTCCCCGAGCCACAGCTACAGATTATTACCCACAGGCGGGGTCAAAGGCCTCTTTATAGGCGAGAAAGCCCCGGCTCAGCAGAAAGCCGCCCACTTTGGGAGGGAGGAGCTGAAGTGCTTCGCTGCCCCAACAGACGCGAAAACAAGTCAGGGCCCGCGGCGTAGCCCTGGTAGGCGGGTGGGCGGGGCGAGGGCCAAGTCAGGGCTGCGGAGCCCCGGCCCGCCCCGGCCCCGCCCTAAGCCCCGCCCCGGGCCCTGTGGTCCCGGGAAGAGCCCTCCGCGCAGCCCGGCTCGCTCCAGTGCCCGCCCACCGTTGATTTCATTGGTTGCCTCGCCAGTCCCGCCCCCAGCTGATATTCGCAGCCAATCCGCAGGCGCGGCGGCGTGTCGTGGGTCGTGGGTCGTGGGTCGCGGGTCGCGGGTCGCGGCGGAGGCTGGGCGCTGAGGTACCGGGGCCTGGACTAGGGGGACCGCGGTCTGGCTGCGGAGCCGCGCGGGCTCATGGCGGCACGGCAGCCTGGCCTCGCTGGTCGGTTCGCGGGCGGGCCGTCCCTCCCCGGGCTCCTAGGGGACCCTCCAGCTGGAGGGGCGGTGACCGTGACTGTCGAGGGCTCGCCCCAGGTGGCTAGGGTTGGGGGTCAGAGGTCCTGCCTTGTGGAGTGTTAGGGCCCTGCCCGTGGAACCCTAGGGCCGGGCCGCGCCCCGTTTTCCTGTCAGCTCCTTTAGAGGCGCCCCATCCTTTCGCATTAGGGACTCGGAGGGAAGCGGGCCTGAGAGCGGCTGCTGCCCCCGAGCTCGGACGCGAAGGCCGGCCCCGTCCCCGGGATGCCGCCGAGGTCCTGCAGTTGACCCGCAGCCCCTGGAGAACGGCCGGCCGCCTCCCTCCTCCGGGCGGGCTCAGGAGTGCGCGGGGCGGGGTGTGGCCCGGTGGCCCCCGAGGGCGCGGGCGGTGAGTAGGGGTCGCGCAGGGGCCACAGGCTGTCCCCGAGTGGGCTGCTCCCGTGTGGCTCCGAAGCCAGCTGTTTTTGAGGTTGTCATTCCGCGTGCTTGAGATTTCCTTTCTGGAATCTCACCCGAACAGTTTGGAGCGGGGAACGGGGGTATCGTGGCTTTGGCGGTTGACTCAAGGTGAAAATAAAAACCAGACGCGGGGATGCAGTGAACGCAGAGTGACCCGTGAGCAAACTGGGCGGTTTTCTCCGGTTGACAGGCGTTCTTTCCCCGCTAGCTGGCCCCACTACGCAGAGTGAAACTGTGTCAGAGTAAGAGCAGTTTAGTCCCATAGCTCTCAGCAAGTGTCCTCAGCACCGACCTTCTTAGTGAAGATACTTTGCAAGGTGTAAAGTATTGAATAAAAAATTACTGTGCAGAGGCTCTGAGTTGAAGATTCTCAGTGCACAGAGGCTGGCAGCAGCCCTTACTTTCCATTGCAGGGATCTCAACGACTTCTTTACTACCCTGAGACCAAAAGCAGCTGTTTCTTTACATATGTGGGTTTTGGGAAGATGGCTACGGATGAGGAATCGGGGCAGGAGAAAGGAATTCTTTTGTTTTCTGCATGAAATGGATGCAATTAGAAAAAACAATGAAGAGTTTTGACTCTGTCTTCTTCTATCTCAGCCAGCGTAAGCACATTATTTTTTTTTCTTTTCGTTTTNTTTTTTGAGATGGAGTTTTGCCCTTGTCACCCAGGCTGGAGTGCAATGGCGCCATCTTGACTCACCACAACATCTGCTTCCTGGGTTCAAGCGATTCTCCTGCCTCAGCCTCCAGAGTAGCTGGGATTACGGGCTTGTGCCACCATGCCCGGCTAATTTTGTATTTTTGGTAGAGAAGGGTTTTCTCCATGTTGGTCAGGCTGGTCTCGAACTTCCGACCTCAGGTCATCCGCCAGCCTCCACCTCCCGAAGTGCTGGGATCCCGGCCGCACATTCTTTTTTCTACTGATGGTATTTGTTGAGTATTTTCAGTGATTAGGGAAAGGAATACTCTCTAACAACAAGACACTTCTTTTTAAACAAGGTGGTGGAGGGATAATGATGTCTTATGTGGAATTAACCCTCGGGTTTGGTTTTCAGTGAACATGAGGCACAAGGAAGTGTCAGCCAAGACCTTCCAAGGCCCAGCTGTTGTCTGTCGGACTCCGACCAGCCACGTATACATGTTTAAGAATGGGGACTCAGGGGACTCCTCTGAGGAAGAGTCACACTGTACGGTTCTGCGGCCCCGGGGCAAGGAGCGCCAGAAGAGCGGTGTCTACCATCCTCATCAGGCAGGCGCAGGCGACGTAGTCCTGCTGCAGCGGGAGCTGGCCCAGGAGGACAGCCTCAACAAGCTGGCTCTGCAGTACGGCTGCAAAGTAAGACACCCCTGAGGTGCTCTGCCCCACTTGGCTTCCAGGAACACAGGGAACTCACTGCAGGGTGGGGGTCCTTGTTGCCCTCCTTCACCCTGCCAGGAGTGGCCTGCTCTAGCAGCCAAGGACTCCCCTATGCAGCCAGAATTGGAAGGCAGGTGGGAGTACCTTTAGTTCCAAACTCTGGCCCCCAAAGACCGAGGGTTACTGCATCTCCTTCTCTGCAGGGGACTTCTCTTCCCCTTTTCTCCGCACTGAAATTCTGAACCCTTTTTTTCTTTCGAGCACATTTCATTTTGGACCTAATGGGGCTGGAGATGGCAGGCAGAATTATCCCAGTTTCTATGGCATGCTTGCTTTTCTTGCCACTTTTATGTTTTCTGAACCTTTCTTGGTGGTAGCTGATTGGTAAAAATTTACCTTCTCTCTTTTAGAACTGCATGATCTCTTGTATGCTGTGTATCTATATAACCCTGTTTTTCTCTTTAATTATGTTTTTAGCATTCAGAGTGATTAACAATGGCCAAGTAAGTAGGAAAGTATTTATAGAATTGCTGCATTTTCTCCTAGATTATAACTATTTTGCTAACACCGTGTGACAAATTTCTATGGCCTTCTCTAAGGGTATATAAGCTACTTAATTAAAAAAATCTTTTGCTCCTACAAGTGTCTTATCTAACAAGGTCCAAATGTGTAAAACATATTGTGTGGGGTGTTGCAATCCTTCCCAGGGAAATAAACAGGTTGGTCTCCAGGGACACATAGTCGTGTTTAAATTGTGCTGACATTTATATTTGGCTGTGATAAGCAGCTTCTGTAGGCACACTGTATGGTTTATAGAACATAGGTTGAAAAATGAAGCCTGTCCTAGAAAGACTGGAATAGATGCAGTAGGCTTCTTGGTTTGGTGATGTCTAAATCTGTAAAGAATATATAAATTCTTTGATAAGTGATTAGTTTTCCTACTTGAAGTAAATAAATTTGCTCTTAGTGTATTAAGGACAGAGACAGAAAGAGCTCAAGGGTGTCATGCATTAGTTTCAGGACATAATAAATTAAAAAATGCCCCCACCCTGATTCAATTGTGATAACAGCAGTTACTAAACAAGGTAATGGAAATGACTGATTTGGACGAGATCTGTTGGCTGTATTCACTTTCTAGTTTAAGTGAACTTATGACTTAAAAGTTTAGAGTTCATCTCTGATGCTTTTGGAAAGTTTTCAAACATTAGTTTGAGGGAGGAGTTACCCTTTGACTTAAAATTTTCCCTACTTCTTAAATCTTAGTGTTTGATTATGAGAGGAGTTTGTCATGAACTTCATGCTACTGATAAAACTCACAGCATTATTCCTTTCTCCTGACAGTTAAATGCATTAGCCGTAGGACACTTTTATTTAAAAAATAAATAAGTTAATAGGCCCCACAGTGTTTCTGGGAAAGAATATGCTACGGGCTTATCTCTCAACTTTATTACTGGTAAACTGGATTCTGAGTGTGTCTGCAGAGCTGGCTGAGGCTGTGTTTGGTGAATGTTAACATCTCGCAGCTACTTCGTTCTGGCATGAGGGAAGTCAGGCAGATGGGGGCACTGTTGCCTCAAAGTTAAAGGTGGAAACAGCTGCAGCATGCATGTTAGTGCCATGGTGGTTTCAGCTAAAAGCGTTTTGTTGCAGTCACGCTTTAAACAGCTTAAGAAAGATCTCTTCTTTCAAAACTGATCTTAAATTGTTCAAAATTGTAAATCTAGGAATATCTGATTATTAAACTATATATTAAGGCTGAGTAAAAGCCAACAAGCAAAATTTCAGCCTCAACTAACTTCATGTATAGGTGCAGTTTTTCAGTCTTCATCAGATTCTTAAGTGAAGTGGGCTTGAATCATCCGCCAGAAAGATTAAGAGCCACTTTTTGGAATGTTATTTTTAAGGAGCTTCGCATATTTTGTGATGTATGTCTTCATGCTTTCCTAGGTGGCAGATATCAAGAAAGCCAACAACTTCATCAGAGAACAAGACTTATATGCTTTGAAATCTATTAAAATTCCAGTGAAAAACCATGGGATCCTAACAGAGACCCACAAAGAACTAAAACCCCTTCTGAGCCCATCTTCCGAGACCAGAGTGACAGTGGAACTGCCAGACGCAGACAGAGCAGCCACAGGCACTGATGCCCAGGCCAGCCAACTGACAGATTTCTTTAAGGGGATTGACCAGAATATTGAGCGTGCAGTGCAGTCAGAAATCTTTTTACATGAAAGTTACTGCAAAGATGCCTCCCATCAGCCACTGCTCCCAGCTCCTCCGAAGACGCCAATGAATGGTGCAGATTGTGGCATTCAGTGGTGGAATGCTGTTTTCATTATGCTTCTAATTGGGATTGTCTTGCCTGTCTTTTATTTGGTCTATTTTACAATACAAGCTAGTGGTGAGACCCTTAATAGTTTGAACACAACTGTTGTCCCCAATGGCTCGATGGCAGTGGGTACCGTTCCAGGGCAAGCCCCCAGACTAGCAGTTCCAGTGCCAACCATCACGTCTGCAGCCAGCCGGTTCAGTCAGACCACCCAGGCCGGGAACTGAGCTTTGCTGAAGAATCGGCCCAGCTTTAGTAGTTGGCTGTTGCTGTGTATCCGCTGTCATTGGCGATATCCTAGGGGTGCTGCGTTTTGTTTCCTGGCAAGGATGGACACTTTTCAGAAGTCATTCAGTATTCCCGATTGCACTGGCCCTGCGAATGGCCTTGCCCAGTCTAAGCCTGCAGGATCTAAAACAGCAGCGACCTCAGCCTTTATCCAGAGAGGTGCCGCAAGAGAGCAATTTCCATGCGACAGATGGCCATTTCTTGAAGACATTTAGTGGACTGGCCATGTGTTCATAGCACTGTGTGGACCCCCAAGTTGGACATGCTTGGAGGGAGAGAAGTGGCCTCCGTCAAGGGACCTGCAGTGTGAGAGCACAGGTCACCTGGCTGTCGCAGTGTCCTCACTTGCTGTGGAGTGGGGATTGGCTCTGAGGAGGAGTGTTCTCTGTCTCCCTGGCAAAGGTGCTATGGAATACTCCTGGCATGTCACCTTCTTTTTAGAGAGTGACAGTTACAGTTGTAACAAACCTACTTCATATTGGCCTGCTCAGTTAGCCTTTTTGAGGCAATGCCATTTCTAGAGTTGAAAAGCCCTCAACCCAAACTGCTGCACTGGTGAGTAAAGGGCAGTCCCTCCTGTCCTTTTACAGCTGCTTAGTGTGACACATAGGCACCCCAGGCCGAGCACACACTGAGCTGTGCCCAGTTCTTCAGGAGCCTTCCCGCAGTGTGGCTCCCTGGATTCTCCCAGTTGGCCTTCTTGGAAGGGGCTGTTGCTGGCCAGCGTTTGGAGGGGAGGATGAGTGCCTGTCACTGAGGCTCCACCGTGGGTGGCGTCTGAAGCTGGGCAGTCGCCAGGTTTGTGCTGAGAGCCACAGCCCCTGTGTGCACCTAACATGGGGCGCTCCTGCTGCTGCTTCCCTGGCTCGGTTCTTCGGAGCTCCAGAGCAAGAGGGCTGCTTAGTCCTTTTTCTCTGGGTGACATCCTAGAATAACACTATAGGCAATGTAGGTCACAACATTATAAGACCGAAGGCTTGATGGAGGGGCTAGAGGTGGCCCTTGTTGTGAAAGTCAATCAGAACACCTGAGGGAGGAAGGGGTCTGCAGTTTTCCAGGCCCTTCTTGCTGCCAAGGCAGCCGTGGTGCTGTGGACCAGGCTGGGATTGCTGGTCAGAGGCTGCTTGTGAGCTGGTCACGCCCTGTGTGGGATAGAAAGGTGGGAGGTGCTCGGGTGGCTGCTGGCCCAGCCTCCAGGAGTTCTGGACAGGAGGCAGACACTGCCCAGATGCTGGGTGGAGGGACAGCGATGGCCTTTGACACATGAGGCGTGGAGAGAGGTTTCAAAGGTCTCATGGAAGAGTGATTTCCGGTTTCTCTCCTTTCAGTTATATGTGTGGAAAACAGCTGGCCCGGGTTCCATTAGCAAATTTAAATCATCCTTAGTATTGAATTAAGAGACCAGAATGATCTTCAGGATTAGAAGAACTTCTGAATCTTTGCAGTAGGAAATGTTTTGATATGCAAGTGCTTTTCCAGCCAAACGTCTGTGCTCTCCATGTCACTGAGGGCCACAGTTTTCTCTGACATCTGTCACTGTCACTTCACCAGGTAGGCCTTGGAGTCCCATGGCAAAATCACTTTTGTCAGACCAAGAATGAATGTATCCTTTACTTTTCTCAAATGGAATAAAATCATTTCTTCTGTGAAGGAAAATTTATTTCCCCTTTTTATGTTATTTTCATTTTTTTGGAGACAGAGTCTCTATCCCCCAGGCTGGAGTGCAATAGTGCGATCTCAGCTCACTGCACCCTCCACCTTCAGGGTTCAAGTGATTCTCCTGCCTCAGCCTCCTGAGTCACACATCACCACGCCCAGCTAATTTTTTATTTTTAGTAGAGATGGGGTTTCACCATGTTGGCTAGGCTGATCTTGAACTCCTGACCTCAGGTTATCTGCCCACCTTGGCCTCCCAAAGTGCTAGGATTACAGACGTGAGCCACTGCACCTGCCCCCCACCTTTTAAAATTTAGGGATTAATAATTTAGCATTAAACGATGTGGGATGCTGCTGGAGAAGATGGGAGGTGCCTGTCAGGAGTGAGGCCTGTGCCTGTCCCTGTACCTGGTCACCTGCTCAGGATTTGTGCTGTGCCCAAGGTTACCTAGACAGGGGCGGGACAAAGTGGTAACCAGTGCTCTATGGCTGACTGATTGCTGACTGGTCTGTATACAGGGTTTAACATTGCTTTATTAGGTGTACCTACAAAATACCATGATACTTCCTGTTCCTTATTTTACTACGTTCTCGGTGTCTTTGGGAAGTGAATATTTTACAGAAATAATTTGCTTCCTAGTCTCCAGTCTTTTTGTTTCAACTATAGTGCTTCGTGTTGAAGCCCAAAGAATCCCCATTGTCAAGCAAATAAAGATTTAATTTTACTCTGGAGAGACAAAGCTGCCGATGTAGCAGGGTAACCAGAACTGCCACGGTCCAGCAGAGGTGAGGAAGGTGTGGCCTGGCCTAGGAGTGTGTTGGGGGATGGTCAAGCTCCACCAAGCAAGGCCTTCGGGGCTGCAGTGGGTAGAGTGTGGAGGGGAGGGTGGGAGATGTGCCTGAAGTCATGGGATTAAGAAAGCCACTTGGGGCTGGTGTAGCGGCTCATGCCTGTAATCCCAACACTTTGGGAGGCCGAGGCAGGTGGATCACTGGAGGTCAGGAGTTTGAGACCAGCCTGGCCAACATGGTGAAACCCCATCTCTACTAAAAATACAAAAATTAGCTGGCGTGGTGGTGCGGGACTACAATCCCAGCTACTTGGGAGGCTGACATAGGAGAATGGCTTGAACCCAAGGGGCAGAGGTTGCAGTGAGCTGAGATTGGGCTGAGATCTGGGAGACAAAGCAAGACTCAGGGAAAAAAAAAACACTGGAGACAGCAGAAGCCTGGGCTCCGCTGTAGGAAAGGCCCACAGAGCCATGACCATTTCTCTTCAGGAAAGACTGGGCTGCAACCCCAGGAGCAACAATCAGATAAGCTCTGGTGCTCCCTGGATGCCAGAGTGCTCCAAGAGCTTTTACGCCCACTCACTTCACCCTCACTGCCTTCCCACGAGCCAGGCACTTCTACCCTCATTTTAAAGATGGAAAAAGCAAGCTGCCTATGACCACACAGCTGGTAAACGGTAAACGGGGGTGCTTGGGAGCCTGTGCTCCTAACTCTCTTAACCCCTTTCTGCCCTGCCACCTGCTTGACAGTTACTGTGGGCCTTGGGGTAGGGCACCTATGGCATGATCCAGGCTCACGGAACATGGGGGATGCTCGAGGTCTCCCAGGCAGGGCTTCACGAGGGGACAGCAGACAGAAAATATTGACTGGCCCCCCTGGGGTACTGGCCTCGCAGTGATAAGAAAAGTTAGACCCATTGCCTGAATTGCAGTAACTAGAATCGGCATTTATCTGCCCATTTTCTTAGTGCAGAATCAACTAGATTTAGCCGCTGAGCCAGTGAACCAGCTCCTTTGACTTTGAGAAACAAAGTGACAGGAGAGCCTCCCGTAGCTGCTTCCCTCCTAGCACTTAACGCCTTGGGACAGCTCCTCCAAGCTTATTTCCAGAGGCGGGGTATGGCCTCACGCCAGGCAGGGAAGGAGCTGGGGAGAGTGTGGATAGCATCCACTTTGCCTGTTCTCCACGTTTGGTTCAGAGGAGCTGCTCCAAGGACAGGTACCCTCCCTGCTCCTGCACTGCCAATCAGCCCCCACTGCCCCTGGAAAGACCAGTGTGGTGACAAAGTACAGTTCCAACCTGTGACTTGTACTCCTTCCCGTTCCTGCTCAAAACCTGCAGAGAGACTGCCACCACGGTGCCAGCAAGAAGGCAGGGAGTCCTACCACAACCTGGGGGAGACTTTCCCGTGTCTTTGGAAAACATGGGTTATTGTACATCACCATTTCACTACCCTGAATAAGGAACAAGTGCCACTTTCCATCTGCTCATCCATAACCTTCCAGAACACCAATTACACCAAGAGGTGATGGGATAACATGACACGGCCCCTGCCCTCAAGGTGCTTATAATCCAGTGGGATAAGACCTACGCTAGGGCCAGGCACAGTGGCTCATGCCTGTAATCCCAGCACTTTGGAAGGCTGAGGAAGGCGGACTGCTTGAGCCCAGGAGTTTGAGACCAGCCTGGGCAACATGGTGACACCCTGTCTGTACCGAAAAATTACAAAAATTAGCCAGGCGCAGTAGTGTGCACCTGTAGTCCCAGCTACTTGGGAGGCTGAGGTGGGAGGATAGCTTGAGTCTGGGAGATAGAGATTAGAGTGAGCTGATACTGTGTTGCTGCACTCCAGCCTGGGCATCAGAGCCAAACCCTGTCTCAGGAGAAATGATAATTTTTTTTTAAAGACCTATGTCAGAGTCGAAATACGGTAGAACAAGCTGTGCCCACAGAGGGAAATGGATGACAAGTGGTTGATAAAGCAAGAAGGGTTTTCTAGAGGAGATGACATTTCCTTAGTGGATGTCTGAAAGAAGACTGGGATTTAGAAATATGGCAGCGGACGGTTCTTTTCAAAGAATGCTGTTCAGTGTGAGCAAAGGCCTAGAGGCTGGAAACCATGGGACTATGTAGACGGAAAACTACGAATAGTCTGGTGGCCTGGCGTGAAGGAAGTGTAAATGGAGCGTGGGAAGATGCTGCTGTACTAGTTTGAGGCCAGGTTCTAGGCAACCCCGAATTCCACATTTAAGAGATCTGGACATGATTTGATGGACAGTGGGAAGCTATTGAAAGTCTCTGAGCAGTGGAGAGTTGATGAGCACTAAAGTGAAGAATGGTGGCCACAGTTTTGGAGAGGCTCAGTGGGAGGAGTGAGGACCTTAAGAGGTGATTGTCTCAGTTTGTACTCATGGGTTTTAATTTCTAGAGGTGACTCGTGAAAACTTGGAGACATTGCTTCTTGCTGATGCCACTGCATCGAAAAAAAGTTTTATTACTTGCAATTCCCAAGAGAAGGGGGCACACCAGGCCCCACAGGGCCACATGGGGGATGCACCCATATTGGTCAGGTGGCAGAAAGGAGCCAGGGGCATGCCCAGGCCAGAGCCTTCGTCGTGTTTCTGTGGGAAAGATAAGGCAGGGCAGGGAAAACAGGCTAGTCCTGGGAACAGCAGTCTCTCCCCAGTCAGCAAGACCCTCAAAGCCAGAGCATCAGGAATGCAGAAGATAAGAACCAGTTACTACAATAAGGAGTAGAATAAAATGGGCCCTGTGACAAACGGATGCCAAGCAGACAGATGCAGAATCTAAGAAAAGCCAGAACAGTGACGTGGCTCAGACCCGGCAATGTGATTCTGACGAGACTTGGTGTGGCTTTCGTCACATTTCTATTTGGGGGTCATTGTTCCTTGAATCTGTGGGTTTATATAGTTTTATCTAATTTGGACAAATTTTGGCCACAAATTATTCCTGGCCCTGGGTGGGCTCTGGGAATTGTCCCGCCTGCTTTTTTCTCTTGGCTCTTTTCCTTGACTCTGTGATTTCTTCACATGCATGTACAGGCCAGTACTCAGCCAAAGACTTGGGGGAATCTCTGTCCAACTTCCCCCTCCCCAGTATCCTGCCCCCACAAATTCTAGATGCCTCAGCTTCCCCAAACTCCAAACTCCATCTCAACTTGACAAGACCTCCTGTCTCTGTCCTATGGCTTCAACCCCTCCAGGTGGTGAGCTGAGGCACTCGTTTCACCTGATTTATTTCTAGTCTCTGAGAGATAAGTGTCCTGCACTGCCTGTTGTCCAAGGCCTCATATCTTTTGTTGGGTTCTTTAAGGTGAAAGAATATCCCTGGTTTGTGTTATTCTAATATGACCAGAAGCAGAATATCATTGGCCAGGGTGAGGGGAGGGGCAGCTAAAATGGTGGCTTGAGAGGGCATGACTGGTTCTGAGGCAGGGCCAGGGGAGCAGGGCTGTCAGTGGGCTCTCCTTTGTGAGCCTGGACTGGATCACAAGACAGGAAGCCAGCAGGGGCAGATTTTCTTAGAAGGGCTTGGGAATGAGTCCACTAAATTTCACACACTGTGAAACTGACAGCTGCTCTGGAGGTGTGCTGTTGATTTAGTTCGATCAACACGAACTCATTCCCCCTATCAAGTGCCAGGCTCCGTTTCAGAGCCTTAGCTCAGCTGAGTAGTTGGAACGGAAGGGACAGTCCAGGTACCAGTCATCCAGACAGTGGCAGTGTCACCCTGGCTCCTTACTGCCACTTTGAGATCATTGCTCCTTCCTCCTCCATAAATCCTCCTACTTCTTTGAAGCACGTGCTATCAAAACGCAGTTCCTACCCCACTTCCTTGAGGCATCATCTATAGATCTCCTGGTGGGTTCCTCTCCTCCACTGATGACTTTAGCACCATCCTTGATACCCCTGTAGCTCAATACTTCATCCTTTTCAGGTTGTATCACACGTAGAAAAGAATCAAATATGTCTAGCACCCTGAGGTACACTGGAGGGGGGCTGATGATACCCACGTGAGCCTTAACGTCTTAGATAGAGAAAGGGCGCAGTGGTGGTTTTGTTCTGTTTTGGTTCGTTTTTGAAATGGGTGATAGAAAAGCATGCTTTTATGCTGATAGGAAAGATTTAGGAGAGGAAGAAACGCTGCCGGAAGGAGGGGATGGTTGCAGCAGCAAAGACCTTGAGGAGAT